TAGAGAGCATCGCCGCCTACTAAACAACCGCCTCGCCGCGAGCATCAACTTTAGCCCATCATTTATGTATTGATGAGCGAGCCCTTATTCTATAAAAGGGACTCCCTCACCATCATTAGAGAGCATCGCCGCTTGCTGAACAACCGCTTCACCGCGAGCATCAACTCTAGTCCATCATTTATGTATTAAGGAGCGAGCCCTTATTCTATAAAGGAGACTTCCTCACCATCATTAGAGAGCATCACCGCCTGCTGAACAGCCGCCTTGACGCGAGCATCAACTCTAGCCCATCATTTATGTATTGAGGAGCGAGCCCTTATTATATAAAAAGGATTCTCTCACCTTCAACGCCATAAGCCGAGCCAACCAAGGCAACATAAGCCATAAGCCGAGCAGCCTCGCAACATGTGCTACTTCTAGTTGAGCATCATTTCACATTGAGCACCGCCTTATATCGAGTATTCAGTTCTAGACGACATCTAGTTACTTTGGCCCACACATAGACTGAATTTCAAGTTTCCAACCAAAAGACTCTCTTAACTGAAGACTTGGGGGACTACTGTTTGTACCATACTTAGGGCCTCCGTATTTAGACCTCGTATAAATACTCGGGTGACTCAAATATAATTATGTAATAAATGAAGGGGTAAATCTGTAATAAGTGAGGAGCCCTTATTCTATAAAAGTACTCCTCACTCTCCTCATTAGGAGAAGCCAAGTTTCAGGCCAAGATTGAGGGCAAGGCTTAGGCTATAGGAAGAGAGAAAATAGGTGAGAGAGCATACTGCCTCTGGCCTTCCTGTATATTCCTCATTTAGAGTGAAACAATACCAACATCAGTGTGGACGTAACCCAAACATTGGGGTGAACCACGATACATCTTGTGTTCTTTACTTTCTTGCAAATTCACGGTTGGATTTACGTTGTTCTAAGACCCTCCGGTTTTGTGCATCAACAAGGACGAATAGGAATCCGAAAATGATAGTAATATGGATATCAATAGTTATTATTGTAGTTTTGATGAGGATTAATGTAAACTTGTTAAATTGAATGGTATATATATTCATTAAGTAGCTTTATATTTTATTTATTTTGTATGTATAATAAATTTTATAATCATTTTTTTATTATAACTTGCGCGACGCCACAATAGGGTCATTGAACAAAAACTAATCGCGCGATGCCATGAAGGGATCGTTATGCAAAAACCAATAAAGCGACGCATAATGGCTTGTTGTGTAGAAGCCCATTGCACGATGCTGTATAAGGCTCATCGCACAACCACCCATAGCGCGATGTTGTATACATGCGTCATGCAATTTGTTAAATTTTGGCGCTCTAATTGGAAGAAATGGCATTTTTTTTCTTCCAAATTTCAAGGTCTTTTTAATATTAGAATCCCCCTCCTTTTCTCGCCCTTTCTCTCAGTCCGTCTCTCCTTCCTCCTCCACCGTTTCATTCTTGCTCCACTGCAAATCAAAACAAAAAATTGCTCACTCAAACCAATTTCAATTCACTCGTGCCTCAGCACTCCGTTAATATCCCCTACTAGCGGACTCATTGACGTTTACCAAATTCCTCTTCACTAAAGTTAATCGAAAGTAGGTTACCCTCTTCACTTCCTCAAGTAAATTTGATTATCTATTAATTCATCAACTTGTTTATAAATGTTTGTTTACTTTGTACTAGTAACTATAGTACCTGAAATGTATTGTTCTCTATCGGGGTCTTATTCATCGTTCATAATGATATATGTGGGTCTTTATGATTATTTATAAATGTTTGTTTATGATTCAAAAATGTATTGATGTTGCAGTTGATCACTCTTTGTTAGGGTGTGACCAATGCGTCTCCCCACATCTTAAGCACCTACCGCTGCGGCTATAGGTGCTGCATAAATTGGGGAGCCTACGTCAATTACTCAGGCTGCTCCCGGGGTGTCGGTTCAACCGCTCAGTGCACGGCAACCTCATTGGCACTGCCGTCATCTGGAGCCTTCTGATCACATTTCATCGGCATCCACAGATGAGGGTGGGGGCTCCCAGCCAGGTAGTTATTTCTAATTCGCACTACATCGTATTTTTTTTCATTTTAAAACTATTATTTTTATGATTGTGAAAAATTGTTGGATTGTGAAAATGTGTTGTGGATATGAATTACTGTTATTTTACTATTTCTAGGTTTTGGGAAATGATATACTATTAGGCGAGGTTCTACTGAATTTTTGGTAGAAATTTAAAATTAGGGTTTTTGACCAAGTAATTTTTTTTGGGCAGCTAAAAAAAACACCAAGGGGCCTAATCGAATGCTGAAGCCGACACACAACATATGTGTGTCCAACAAAATGATCAAGATCACTACCAGCATTGGTTTTGTTATTCGGTGGCATTGTCCTATGCAGTGGGAGTCTTCGGCATAAATTTTGGAGGAGACGAAGGCAGCAGTGCGACATGAGTTGTCGGTTAGTATTTTCATTTTTAGCCCTTATCTTTTTTAATTTTTTTTACAAATATTATAAACAAAAGTATATTATCTTAATATTATTAAAAAATTTACTATTATTTTATTATTTTCATATTTGTAGTACAATTATAATCTTAAGGACATATCCCCCGAGGCCACCACCTACTTAGAGGAGAACTTAGCAACCTGGTACAAACATTGGAAGTACGAACTCCATGCACATTTTAAGAGATGGGATGCTCTAGAGATTGCTTTCCTAGTGGGTTTCCCAATGGAGTTGTTAGAGCGGTCTGAGGATTGGAAGTGGCTGTGCAAACATTTTACGGACACAAAATTTGTGGTAAGTATGTACTTAATATTTTAATAATAATTTATTACTGTTTTAGTTATTTTTTAAAACTTTTTAATAATTTCTTTCAAATAGTTACACTAACATGTATATTGTGCGTTTTAACAGAAGAAATTTGTTGCTAGCAACAAAGCTCGGGAGTCAAAGACATTTCTCCACCATTCCAGTTCGATTGATGTCCTTCTCCTATAGGGTTGAGGCATGACATCATGTAAAAGTACATTGATTAAAATTTTTACAATTTATTTTTTATTATGATTAATAACATTTTTTTTTTGCTTCAAGAGGGTTCTAAGTTCCCAAAGCTCGACATGTTCAAGGAAGTTTATGTTCAACCAAGCGATGAGACCGCTAAGTAGCTCCATTTAAGTATATGTAATTGTTATTATTCTTATATTTATGAACCGCTTAAATATTAATTACATTTTTTTATTAAATATTAATTTCTTTTCTTATTATTACAAGCTGATAAGTGGCATTACAGCCTCCCCCAGAGACCCTGATCGAGGATGTCACTATACTCGAGGATGTGAGTCTTCAGATCCTGACTGAGACCCTGGATCAGACGCTCGGTCGTCGTCATGGCAAGGCTATTTAGGGGATGGGGAAGGTTCGAGTTCGTGAGATGAGTGCCTCCTTTTTCAAACTGACCGTGAGACAAGTCGTTGCCTTGACGGATGAAGTGGCAACCTTGAAAGGAAAGATTGTAGCCTAGAAAGCCCAAATTGCAACCCGGGATGCACGGATGAAGTGGCAGCCTTGACGAGAAGATGAGCATGATCTTATGAGCCTTCGAGTTGTCCAACCTCCAAATCCTAATGCCAGCACCTGATTTTGCTCCACCTTCGACCTTCTAGCCGCTTCGTCCAACCGATACCTAATAGCCTAATGCATCAAACTTGGACGACTATTTGTTGTTTTTTTTTTCTTTTCGGACAGCTTATACGTACATTTTCATATATTTATAATTAAATACTTTTTCTTGGTTTATTAATTATTGTTTATAATTTAATTAAAATATTTATAAAAAATAAATAAATAATATATTGTAAAAAAACAAAATAATAATAATAACTTTTCCATATGACGACGTAAGCTACGTTGTCCAAGAAGGCTTTGCACGACGACAATAACCTACGTCGTGTACCTATCTTTGCGCGACAATGAGAGAAAGCTACGTCGCGCAAAAGATTTCGCACTACACAGGTTATTGTCATCCCACAAAGACCTTTTGCACAACGTAGCTTATGTCGTTGTCATGCAAACCCTTTTTTCAAGACCTTTGCGCGACGAGCTTCATGAGACAAAGGTTTCGTCGTGCTAATTCTCAGGCGACATTTTTTGTCTTTTTGACGAACTGTGCTTCTTCGCGCAACTGTTAATTATAGTAGTGGTGAGAGAAGAGCAAAGGGTGTACAAGAGAAAAGAAAATAGATAAGAGTATATTTCTTGTTCTTTAAAGTTTTTCATCAACTCTTAATCCTAGAGGCTTGGCAAGGTTATCTGGTATAATAATTCTTGGTGTTGATTTATCTTGGTTATTTTGAATTTTCGATTTCCCGAATTTGTTTTTTTTCTTTTCTCATTCTTAAACACGATATTCACAACAACGCGCACACATATATATATATACATGTTCTTCTTGGGCATTTGCTGTTGTGGCTGTAGTAGAAAAGCTTCACAGTAGTCGTATCCAAGCAACAGGGTTTGGACTGCATCGAAAATCCTAATGCGTGCAAGAGTGGTTCAATAGACAATGCCTTTGACTGCGTGATACGAAATAAAGGGCTCACCCTCGAAATAAATCTTGTTTGGTGAGTACTTTCATTTCGAAAAAAATAAAAATTGAAAACCAAAAATAAAAATAAAAATCTGAAGGCCAAATTTCAAAAACCCATAAGAAGTTTTCGGTTTTCACAATGAGAAAATTAAAGAGGCCTGATTAAGGCCCAATAGGTTTCGACATGGAATGCTTCGTGAGGATTTCAGTTCAAATTCAAAGTTTCTCCGCTGGAGGAACGATTAGGGCTGGCAACTTTTTTATGACTTGCGACAAAACTCTCGGTTATTCGAAGGTCAAAATCCACGTGTAGCTATCTGATAGGTCCTAGTGACGTGGGACGAAAACACCCCGTCTTCCTCTACCTTACAATAAAACGCAAAGTACTTCAATTTATATGTTTTTGTATTAACGTTTTTTTCACAAAAATACATTTAGCAAACATTTACGCTCAAAAACTCTGTTCGAGAATTGAGGGGGGAGAGAGGGAGAGGGTGATGATTTGGAGTTGCTCATCCGCCATGGATATGGTGGCTTGGAGAGGGCTGATATATACTGGGTTCTTACTGCATTTCGTGTTCGTCTGCCAGCTCCTCCTTCTGCAACCTCTGGTTTCAGCTCTGGGTATGTTGGTTCTCTCACTCTTTGATCTATTTCTTCTTGCTTTGATCTATTGATTTTTGTTAAATTTCATGCTTTTTGTCAGTTGGGTTGTCTTAATTTTTGCGCCAAATTTGAAAGATTCTTGCTTTATGGCTGTTTTTAAGGTTATTGGTGTTCTGGGCTTCAGGGGAAATCAAACTATTTGCTGTATTATTGTGTTTGGATTCTTCAAACGGCTCTCTAGGTTATCACTTTCCATTGTACTAGGAAAAGTACAAGGTGGTTTTGTTTTTGACAATGTTGTATTCTGGGCTTTATTAGATTGCAGTATTCCTAGGACTGTGTCAATCAAAGAATCATCTTAATACGTGGGACGGGACCGAACCGTGTACTATTTGCATTAATTAAGTATGCAAAGTTTGAAACTTGAACGAGCGTTACAGCTCAATATTTAACATTAGGAATGTTTAGGTTTGAGATGAATTCTTTTTGGCATTTTGAAGATTGTAATCATATTGGGGCAGAAAATTGACGAATCTTGATTATCTATATGGTCTATATTTTTAGTATAAAATTGGGAGATTGCGTGTCTAGAATCAAAATTGTTCTTCATATGTATACATTGTCGAATTGTATGGTGTTGGCATGGTATCGATGTTGTACTTTTATGCGCGTTTAGAAGTGAATTCTAACAAAGTACCAATATCAACGTCGTAGGTGAAAGCTAAAACAAACAATCTCAAACTAACACAAGAGATTTACATGGTTCGACGTAAAGCCTACTCCACGGGCTAAGCACCGCAAGGAATTTCACTAAACAAACGAAGATTACAAAAGAGTCTTTAAACTCTAACAACCCAAATCCCACAAATTACAAACCCTAAACCAAACGAGTAGAGAACTCAAACAAACGGAGAAGGTTCTCCCAATTTGCTCTCTAACTCACAAACTCACAAATTGACTCTCACCAAATTGCCACACGAATGAGCCACATCGAAATACACTAACCCTAAGGTCCTATTCATAGTGCATAGGACTTAGGTTACAATAAGAATCCTAATAGGAAGTAAATCCAAATCCTAATCAAATAGGTAATAACAAAATCCCTCCACCAAGGAAACCAACTAAGAAGTCAAAATCCAAACTCAAATAGGACACCAAAAACAAATAGGTAACACAAACTTAATTCTTTGCATCATCCTAATTTTGAGCCATAAAAACCCAACAATCGAATATGTAACCACAGAGATGCAAAGCTTGCTTTGTTTTGAGTTGATGAGTTCTACCTCTAGCTTGGTGAGGTGTGTTGGTAATGGCTTACACAATGTGAACCTTGCATGTGCAGATGGAAAACCTGGTAATACGGCTGAGTTGCTTGAGAGGGTTTCACAGAGTATAAAGGTGAAGCGTTATAGCGAGGCACTTAATGATCTTAATGCTGCTATAGAGGCAGACCCAGCACTTTCAGAAGCATATTATCATCGGGCATCCGTTCTTCGTCAAATATGCAGGTACTTTTTAAATAATTACCATTCTGGCAGAATAATTTTGGTTTCGTTGAAGGCTGTTTCAGCATATGCCATTTTCTATTTAAAGTTTTGGAGAAAATTAGAATGTTACTGAGCAATTATTTACGGTATCAAATTTAGGAATGTTGAATACATTGATGGGTGAAGATTTTTCGTTCCCCTATGTTTTCCTTTTGGACCTCCCTTCTTAGCATTGTCTATCTGTGGTACTAGTTTATTCACAACAAATCCACCTTTTCCTTAAACTGATATTATTCCTTCTTATTATGGAAACTGCTTTTATTTGGCGTGTTGCTGTGATCATACTCTCTAGTAGCTATCATTGTGATCTTCTTTGTATAATTAGTGGTCCCAAAAGTCCATTGTCTCAAAGCTTCTAGAGTGCAGCACATAAGCTATGTCTGTGTGTGCTCAAAAGCCAAAAGCAACTGAACCATGGGCTAATATCCATAGTCATTCATGCACTATCTAATTGGGCTACCAGCGTACCACTAGTCAGCCGCTATGATACTGCTGATTAGGCCAAAACTGTTGTTCTTGGCTTTTACTCAGTGGTCAATTCAATTATTACCCCTTATCTTTTCATTAGGTCTATGTTGAGACAGACATTGTGAGAGAAGAGAACTTATCATAACTTATGTAGCTTGTATTAATTTCATTAGTTTTCCAAAGGTCTGTAGAAACCCCCATCTCCCTTGTCTTTCCAATTAATGATTGGAAACTTATATGATTCAGGCGCTTTTTGGCTGATGTAGATATGAGGAATCAGAGAAGAGCTACAAAAAGTTTTTGGAGCTAAAACCACGAGAGTCGGTTGCAGAAAAGGAGCTTTCTCAATTGATTCAGGCTCAGAATGCTCTAGATACGGCTATGACTCTCTTTGAATCAGGCAACTATGCAAAATCTTCGGAATATGTTGAAAAAGTAGTACTGGTTTTCTCTCCTGCATGCTCAAAGGTAATCAAATCTATTTCATTTCTTATTGGTTGTCGTTATTTGTTTAATTTCAGTTCCGTGTATTTATTATCTTATACCCAAACAGCGTGTTGCTGATCCAAGAGAGTTGGGATTGAGAATCTTATAAATTCGGTATTCTGAGACCTCATAATTCTGATCTTGTTGTTTGTTGCAGGCCAAATTGCTGAAGGTGAGATTGTTGTTAGCAACTAAAGACTATTCTAGTGTCATTTCTGAGGCTGCTTACATTCTCAAAGAAGATGAGGATAATTTGGAGGCATTATTACTCCGGGGCCGTGCCTACTACTATTTAGCTGATCATGATGTTGCTCAAAGGTTTGATCGGCACCTTTTTATATTTTGAGTATTTTCTTTATAATTTGGTTACAGTTGTATAAACAAATATATATAATTTCTTTAGGCATTACCAAAAGGGTCTCCGCCTAGATCCAGAGCATAGTGAACTGAAGAAAGCGTATTTTGGACTGAAACTTACTCAAGAAGACTAAAAGTGTAAGTCTTAACAGATTTCGTCTGAACTTTTGTTTTTGTTAACTTTTTTCTTCTACCCTGAGGGGTGGGGGATGGTGAGAAGTTTGGCAATGATAGCAAATCTATTTTCTTACTTGATCTTTTTTAGAGCTTATGCAAACCATTATCAATTCTCCATGTGGTGCATCATGTGATATTCTTTCTCAGACAATTTTTCTTTACGCCAGGCCGAAGATAATGTAAATAAGGGCAAGCTGCGTGTTGCAGTAGAGGACTTCAAGGCAGCCCTAGCGTTGGACCCTAATCATCTTGCACATAATGTACATCTTCATCTTGGCTTGTGTAAAGCTTTGGTCAAGCTTGGGAGGGGAAAGGATGCTTTAAGCAGTTGCAATGAAGCACTTACAATTGATGAGGAGCTTCTAGAAGCTTTAGTTCAGGTTAGCTAGTGCTTCAATTATCCCTTGTTTTCCTTGGTATTCGTAGAATTTTGTATTACGGTAGTGTTTAAAATTTACCAGTTTGTGTACTATTTTGTGATGTATAGAATATGGCCGTGCTCAAGTTTGTTCGCTATTTTGTGTTTATAGAGGGGTGAAGCTAAACTTCTGACAGAGGATTGGGATGGAGCTGTGGAAGATCTCAAATCAGCAGCTCAACAATCGCCTCAGGTTAGCGATTATGTTTTATGCCTATAATATGCGATCTATGTAATATGCCCTTCTCACACTTGCAGCTACCGTTTTAGTACTTTAATAAGTAATTTCTTGGATTAATGCTTGCTGATTATGCAGGATATGAATATTCGAGAAGCATTGATGAGAGCCGAGAAAGCCTTAAAGATGAGCAAGCGCAAAGACTGGTACAAGATTTTGGGAGTATCAAAAACTGCATCCATATCTGAGATTAAACGTGCCTACAAGAAGCTTGCTTTACAGTGGCATCCGGATAAAAATGTTGAGAACAGACAAGAAGCAGAGGACAAGTTCAGAGAAATTGCTGCTGCATACGAGGTCTGTATATCCCACGAAGTTCCTTTTAATCTTAGGAAAACTAATAAAAATGGCTTGAAAACTTTGAGTTTTAATGATAAGGACAAAATAAAAGGTAAAGTGAATAGTACCAAGATTGACTTTTTAGTGTAAAAATGTGGTTTTTCTTTAAAGTGAACAGTACCGGATGCTTTTCGTTAAAGTTCCCTTTAATCTTCCCTTTCTGTTGACTGTGTGCTCCAGAAAACATCAAAATGTTGGACTACTTGTATCCATTTGACTCTAGTATAAATCCTTTTCCAGGTTCTCGGCGACGAAGACAAACGTACGAGGTATGATAGAGGTGAAGATATTGAAGAAATGGGAATGGGTGGTGGTGGCGGTGGTTTCAACCCTTTTGGTGGTGGTGGCGGTGGTGGTGGTGGTGGACGGCAATTTACATTCACCTTCGAAGGGGGGTTTCCTGGCGGTGGCGGTGGCGGTGGTGGATTTGGAGGAGGCTTTCCTGGTGGATTTGACTTCCAGTTTTGATTATCCCTAAACGACTGTGCCATTCGAAGGGAGCCCCCAGAGCAGTTTTACTAATTGCTGACAGATTCTCGGTGAGATATACTGCGGCCACCCCAAAAAAGTTTGATAGGTTTTACATGGATTTTTCGCGGGAGCCTTGTGCACTGGGTACGACCTTTTTGAGAGTTGCTACGCGGAAATGTCAAGAGTTTAGAACTTGTATTAACGAAATTTGATGAGACCATTTCTGTATATGTTGCCTTGTACGCTTTCGATAATGGTTTCTCATCAGACTTTGCATGGTTCTTGTTAGAAGGTGAGGGTGAATCTTTTTAGTGAAATTTTTTATTCACAAGAAATATGTTCGTTGATTAAACTGTATTATCAGGTATATGTAAGGTATATTTAGTTCAAACTACAACAATTCGTCTTATTTTATTTTTACTTTTGGTTTATTGCAAATCAAACTCCACCGTGTAAGTTTATCTTACATTGCCGGTCCCAAGCCCGGATAAAGGAGGAGGGGGAGGGCGTCATGTAGTCGACAGCCGGCACTTCATGATTACGTCGAATCCTTATGAAAATGAATCCAGAACGAAATTGCGCTAAAGCTAGGGCGTCACCCGTAAGTGGCGCGCTGTGTGGCCCGAGCACAGTGATAAGTGAGTAAGGGTCGCTGTATCTCCATCGGCACCCGGATGCAGTGTTAAATGAGCAAGGGGGCTATAGAAACTTCTTTTCGAACGACTCCACTCAAAGTTGTTTGGGAGCATATGCTCCTATCAACTTTACACGGGACACACAAAAGAAGTACTTTGATCCTATTAGACAGGGAAGGGTGAAAAGCTAGGACATAAGGGTAGAGTTCAAGAGAGCAAAATGCGTTTAGGAACGTGGAATATAGGAACCTTGACGGGAAAATCTATGGAAGTAGTAGAAGTTATGGTGAGGAGAAGGATAAATATTATGTGCCTACAAGAAACTAAGTGGGTTGGTCGTAAGGCAAAGGATCTAGAAAACTCAGGGTTTAAACTATGGTATTCGGGCACAAATAGAACGAGAAACGGTGTTGGCATCATCGTGGACAAGACCTTGACACAAGATGTTGTAGATGTCAAGAGGGTAGGAGATAGAATCATGGCAATCAAGATTGTAATAGGACAAGAACTTATCAATGTGATTAGTGCGTACGCACCTCAAGTAGGGTTGGATACGAGTTCGAAGGAGAAATTTTGGGAAGACCTTGGAGACTTGGTGCAAGGAATTGCTCATACGGAGAAGTTATTTATATGAGGACATTTAAATGGACACGTGGGCAGGGAGACAGGCAACTATGGAGGTTTTCATGGTGGCCATGGTTTTGGGTAGAGAAACGAGGATGGGGAAGCTATCTTGGATTTTGCAATGGCATATGATCTCTTCTTAGCCAACACCTTCTTTAAGAAGAGAGAAGAACATGTGATCACCTACAAGAGTGGGTCGTCAAAAACACAAATAGATTTTCTTCTAATGAGGAAAGGGGATCGTATAACTTGTAAGGATTGCAAAGTTATACCAGGAGAGAGCGTGGCTAATCAACATCGCTTGTTGGTGATGGATGTATATATCAAAAGAGTGAGAAAAAAGAACAAGACTTGGAAGTGCCCAAGGACTAGATGGTGGAATCTAAAAGAAGAAAAACAAGCCATTTTCAAGGAGAAAGTAATCACCCAGTGTGTGTGGGATAGAGAGGGGGAAGCTAACCAAATGTGGGATTCCATGGCTAGTTGTATCCGAAAAGTAGCAAAAGAGGTATTAGGAGAGTCCAAGGGCTTTGCCCCACACCAAAAGGAATCTTGGTGGTGGAATGAGGAGGTACAAACAAAGGTGAAGGCTAAGAAGGAATGTTGTAAAGCCTTATACAAGGATAGGACAGATGAAAATGGTGAAAGGTATAGAAAAGCGAAGCAAGAGGCGAAGAAAGCTGTGAGAGAAGCTAAGTTAGCGGCTTATGACGATATGTATAAGCGACTAGATACCAAAGAAGGAAAGTTGGATATCTATAAACTAGCTAGAGCAAGGGAAAAGAAGACAATGGACCTAAACCAAGTGAGGTGCATCAAGGATGAGGATGGAAAGGTTCTTGCTACAGAGAACGCGGTTAAAGACAGATGGAAAGGTTATTTTCATAATCTTTTCAATGAAGGACATGAAAGGAGTGCTTCTTTAGGGGAGTTGAGTAACTCAGAAGAGTGTAGAAACTACTCTTTTTATCGTAGAATCCGGAAGGAAGAAGTGGTTGTAGCTTTAAAGAAGATGAAGCATAGAAAAGCAGTAGGCCCAGACGATATACCAATCAAAGTGTGGAAAGTTTTGGGAGAGACAGGTATAACATGGCTCACTGACCTTTTCAATAGGATTTTGAAAACGAAGAAGATGCCAAATGAGTGGCGAACGAGCACTTTGGTGCCTATCTACAAGAATAAGGGCGATGTACAAAATTGCATGAACTATAGGGGTATTAAGCTAATAAGTCATACAATGAAGCTCTGGGAGAGAGTCATTGAGCATAGATTAAGGCAAGAGACACGGGTTTCGGACAACCAATTCGGGTTCATGCCAGGGCGCTCAACCATGGAGGCAATCTATCTCTTACGAAGATTGATGGAAAGATATAGAGATGGGAAAAAGGATTTACACATGGTCTTTATAGATTTGGAAAAAGCGTATGATAGGGTCCCAAGAGACATTCTTTGAAGGATTTTAGAGAAGAAAGGAGTACGAGTAGCATATATCCAAGCTATACACGATATGTATGAAGGAGCAAAGACTGCCGTAAGAACTCATGAAGGACAAACCGAAAGCTTTCCCATAACTGTAGGATTACATCAAGGCTCATCCTTAAGTCCTTACCTTTTTGCGTTGGTAATGGATGAGTTAACAGGACATATTCAAGATGATATTCCTTGGTGTATGCTTTTCGCAGACGATATAGTGTTGATAGATGAAACTCAGGAAGGGGTAAATGCAAAGCTTAACCTTTGGAGAGAAGTGTTGGAATCCAAAGGTCTTCGCCTAAGCCGATCAAAGACAGAATATATGAAGTGCAAGTTCAGTGCAAATGGAGGTCAAAACGAGTTAGGGATGAGGATCGGAGATTAAGAAATACCAAAGAGCGACCGTTTTCGTTACCTAGGATCTATCTTGCAAAAGAACGGAGAATTAGATGGAGATCTCAACCATAGAATACAAGCTGGATGGATGAAGTGGAAGAGTGCATCCGGCGTGTTGTGTGACCGCCGTATGCCACTGAAGCTCAAGGGAAAATTTTATAGGACGGCAATAAGGCCGGCGATGCTGTATGGCACAGAATGTTGGGCGGTGAAGCATCAACACGTACATAAAATGGGTGTAGCGGAGATGAGGATGCTTCGTTGGATGTGTGGGCACACGAGAAAGGATAAGATTAGGAATGAGGATATCCGGGGTAAAGTAGGAGTAGCCGAAATTGAAGGAAAGATGAGAGAAAATCGGTTACGGTGGTTTGGACATGTGCAAAGAAGGCCTACTGACGCTCCGATTAGAAGATGCGACTATGGGACAGAGGTTCAGGGCCGAAGGGGTAGAGGAAGACCTAGGAAAACTTTGGAAGAGACCCTAAGAAAAGACTTAGAGTACTTGGATCTAACGGAGGACATGACACAGGACAGAACACAATGGCGTTCTAAGATTCATATAGCCGATCCCACTCAGTGACTTGGATTTTCCAAGTCTCCAACCGAGAAGTTTTCCTCACTCGGGAAATTAAGGGAACACTACCTCAACCTACATGCTCCACTCACAAAGCTTCAACATACAAGCTTCAACAAAAGAAAATTCAAAGAACTTAGCGAAGAAGGCTTTGGTGTATTTAACACAATACGTTGAAATGAAGGAAAACTGATTTATTGATATCCCCAATCAGTTACAAATATGTACATATACTTGAGTCAAAATAAACAAACAAGAGGGAGCCTTCACAAAGGTTGCTTAGAAGAAGTCTCAGCAGTCGGTAGAGCCCCAGAAAGAGAAGGCATCGGAGGGGGATCATTCGGAGCCTCACTGGACAGAACCCTAGAAGGAGGAGGCATCAGAGGTTGATCATTTGGAGCTTCATTACGCGGTTCAGCCCCAGAAGACGAAGGCAATAAATGCCTTTGGAACAAACCCACAAATCTCTGATGATCAAGTAAAACCTGACCATCAGATTCCTTCATCTGGTCAAGCTTCCTCTTCATGTTTGTAGCATAGTCATGTGCGAGCCGGTGCAACTGTTTATTCTCATGCTTGAGCCCTCTAATCTCCTGTTTGAGACTCATCACTTCAGCCGCCAATGATTCAACTTGGCGGGTTCGAGCAAATAGGCATTGGGCCATATTAGACACAGAACCTGCACACTGAACACTCAGAGCCAGAGAATCCTTAACAGCCAACTCATCAGACTGTTTGGAAAGTAGTCTGTTATCTTTGGGAGTGAGAAGGTTCCTAGCCACTACCGCAGCGGTCATATCATTCTTCATCACGGAATCCCCAACGGTAAGAGGACCAGTAGGGGAGATGAAGGATGGGCGCCATATGTTGTCTGGAGAAGGCGGGGCTACCTCTTCAACAAGGTTCAAGTCAAAACGACGGTCGGAGGGGCCAGACATTTTCAAAGGTGTTGAAGAGAGAAGAGGTCAGACAAATCAAGATCTTAGAAGTGCAAGAATGGAGCTTCTACTGGTGGATATTCAAGTGTGCTTTGGAACTTAATGTCAGCCCCTATAAAAATCTGCACTCGACGAAGCTTCAGAAATCGAAGAGGCGTCTGCTCAGAAATCGAAGAGGCGTTTGCTTTCTCAAAAGCTGGGCTGCTCAGAGACCACGAGGGTCGATCTCAGAAATCGAAGAGGCATTGGCTTTCTCAAAAGCTGGGCTGCTCAAAGACCACGAAGGCTGATCTCAGAAATCGAAGAGGCTTGCTTTCTTAAAAGCTGGGCTGCTCAGAGACCACGAGGGCCGATCTCAAAAATCGAAGAGGCACCTACTTTTTCAGCCTCGTCAGCACCTGTCACACGCACACTCAGCTTTGCGGAAATTATGGGCATTCTGTCGAAGATTTCTGGCGAAGTAGAAAGCACATGAATCGTACTGTTCAATCACCCACTTCCCACACGCAACAGTAGCTCATGAGTACCACAGATAACTTTGCCAAAGTTCTCTGACAAAGTTGAGACACGTGAAGCTTGCAGCTCCCACTACATCGCTCTGACCAAGAAGGGTAAAAGAATAGCAAAGAAACAACACTACCAAAGTTTAGACATATAAATTTTGAAGGTCTAGCTACCATATTATTACCCACAAGGGTAAAGGAACAGTACCACTGCTGGATAATTGGAAAGTCCCGGTGTGTCAACCTCTGTGCTTCGTGGCAAG